CAAAAAACTGACGCAATGATGAAAACTGAATAATTTTCGGAAAAAAAAACTAATTGTAAACTTAATGAAAATAAACATTGCTCGAATAAATACGAATAAATAAAGGAACAAAGCTATTGAAATGTCACCGGATACGAGAATATCGTTAAAACAGCATATGCAAAACCCGACAAGAAATGGCCATTGCCGAACTCGATTTGATTCACGACTGTGAGAGTGAGGCAATACAATCACTACTGCAGCAAAACCTTCCGATACTGCTAACCACCTCACCGATCATCCCAAATCTCTACCAAATTCTCTCAATAATTACCAAAATTTTCGACTGATCAGAACAGAAATTAAAGTAATGCGGAATTTTCTCGAAAAACAATTCAAAACCACATAAAAATAATCAACAAGTGCACAGAAAATGTACAAGTGGCTAGTACCTACGGCTTTCCTAACTACGCTAACTACCCGTGCCCACAAATTATGGTATAATAGTACTCCAAGCGCACGTTTAAACCACGTCCTCTAAACGTGGGCGCGGTGTACTACCGTAATTTAAGGGCGCGGCTAGTTACCGTAGTTAAGTAAGCCCGTAGGTACTAAAAGAGGTAAACACTTCCACAAATCAGTACAAATGCAATTGAGGTGATTCTGAACGATGAAAATATAACAAACAATACAATTGGAATGTTAAACTCGCGAATCTTCCAATAACAACACTAATAATAACAGTAACAACGACACTAATGACCAGTCATGACAATTAATCAGTACAAACAAATCACTGAAGACACTGCAAAGGAACTGGTGCATCGTCTGCCGTATATGCGCCACTCTCCTTAACGAGACGTCTATCCAAACATTCTTCAACACTGTCACGCACCTAAATACGACATCACACGAATGAATGCATGAATATTGTCAACAAGTAATAACAGTGACCAAAACTAAAACAACAATGATATAAATGAAACAAATCAAATATTCCGAAAATTCAGGAGAACTCTTAGTGATAACACCTTTGACTATGAACCTCATTTAAGAACCGTGAATGGAAGATATTATCATTTCAAGCAACTTGTTGAATCTCAGCCGCAACAAGTGTATAAGCCTGATGGATTTTAATCTGAGTGTGACTCAAATGAGCGATACACAAACGTACACATGAAAATACTTCAAAAAAAGAAAGATCGTACTCCACTAAATTTAGGCGAAGATTGTGCGAGAGCAAAGACCAGAAGAGCTCAACAAAATCTCAAATGGAATCAAAAAATGACCTGAATGAAGTTCACGAAAATTACATTCGGAAGCAGATGAGGTGGGTG